GCCGTTGTTTTCTGGGTGTAACAGAGGAACTTAATACCTAATCTTTTACATTCAAGCTTTCCAGCTTAGAAACTTTACCCTTTCACTAGCAGGTGGAAAATAAGAAACTTTTACAGCTAAGTCATATTTAGCCTAAAAGAAAGATTCACAAGAAAATGGATATCTAAAAGAATGGGAAAATTTTTGTAGGAAGCTAGAACTATGTTTTAAGAGAAATCCAAAACAAAACATTTTTCCTAAATTCCTGTGTTTTTGTCATTTTTTGTCACTCTTCTCTGAGCTTTATTTTCTCAATTCTAAAACAGGGGCAATGATATGTAGGTATTGTTACAAATATTAACTAGATAGTAAAATATGCTTTTAAAGTATAAAATGCTATGCAAATGACATATGTTGGCTGTATTATTTTCAGTTTCCATTGCTGAACATTATTATTTTTCTCTATCTCTTTCTCATTGACATAACAAAGTATCTTGGCATCAGCTCTGCATTTTGTTTTGCAAAGCTTTTAAAATTCTTATGTAGGTAGGCAGTTGGGTGACAGAGAAAGTGTTGCTGTGCAAAGCTTGAATAGCATTAAATTCCTGAGCCTATGCTTCACCCATTATACTCAAGCCATCAAGTCCTATGACAATTGAAACTGGTAGCCAACTCAGTCCATGGTCCATCATGGAATCTATCCCTTGGGCATAGCCCTAAGTCAGGTATATACCTGAACTTGGAATTAAAGAGGATCCAATGACAGATAACACAAATAACCTGCTTAAAAAATCTAGACTGGTGTAAGAGATAGTTTATCTCTCTATCCCAGCCTTGTAGAAGAATAAGTTAACTGGTTGTTACAGTTAACTAAAGGTTACTCTCCTTATATCATGATGGGTCTAATCCCTTCCTCAATACCATGACCCCATGAACTCAGCTACAACTGTGTCCCAAAGGGGTAGTATGGCATAACAGCAGGTGAGGAAGCAGAGGTGGTAAGTCTGTGGCTCTAAATTATAGTCATGGTGACCATAAATTGTATCCAAAAGAATGCAAGTCCAGACTTACAGCAGAGGTAACAGTAGAGAATCATGTAATGTATCCACAGGGCCAAAACAAAAGCCTGAGCCAAGGTCAGTTTGTTGATCCATGAATAGAGAATCTATGCCTTCTGTTCTAGGTGAGGTTCAGGGAAACTGCCAGTTTTTCAGAGAAAAAATATACCACCTACTCCAATCCATTTGTGCAGCAGGTCAAGTGAAAACATGGTGTAACAATAGGCATGAGAGGGCTGGAGAAAGGCTCACTGGCCCGCAACTGGACAAAGGGATGCCATAAGAGATAGCTATGATTATGGGCTATCCTCATGGAAATCTATTGAGTTCCTGGCTACACCTTAGCTGACCTGTCAGCTTCAGGGAGTTGGATCAGCTTTCCAGCACCAATTCTTTGTCCTTTGAAGGACTGAGACTCATTTCCTACTCTGAAAACCTGGAAAGCAAAAGTAAGTTTAATAAGGCTAATTCATCCTTCTTCCTACCATATCAGTATTGTGAAAAGCACAGAAAGCAAACAACCTTAAGTGACTGGATTTAAAACTGGAATTTTTTAAAATTACAGATGTGTGATGGCACACACCTGTAATCCCAGTGTCTCAGGAGGCTGAGATAAGAGGATCACAAGTTTGAGTCTGGCCTCAGCAATTTAGCAAGGTTCTAATAACTTAGTGAGACTCTGTCTTAAAATAAAATAAAAAATAAAAATAAAAAAGGGGTGGGGATGTAGCTAAGTGTAAAACGCCTCTGGATTTGGATTCAATCCCCAGACCAAAAAAATGAACTTGTTAATGACTGAAAAATCTCTTAGATTTCCTGATGTAATGAGATTAATTTTCTACATCAAGTTGAAAACAAAATAAAGGGGTGTGTTTCAATTCAGAAATTAATTTTAGTATCTGAAAATAAAGTTTCACTTGTACATTGAACCGTATGCCTGCTACTATAATAATAATGTCTCAAATGTGCTCTTTCGGGAATTTCTGTCCGTCTCCCTAATGTACTCCTGGATAATCATTTGGCTGCCACTAAAGCAGCAATCTGAGTTGTACGGCAGCCAAGAAAATCTCAGATCCTATGTTTGCTAATTGGACATAACAATTCATGCTCAGGGGCAGCAAGCAAAATGGACTTTACTCTGCCAGAATTGTTTTGGCTTCCATTTTTTTTGCTTAGCCCCACTCCTCATTCCAAGTTCTCTGACCCTGAAAGCTACTTTCCTAGCTAGTAACACTCAGATTCTTCACCCAGGCATAGGAAACACTCATTCTACTATATTCTGGAGATCAAGGAGGAGAGGGTTTGATGTTGAACAGAGCTGTGTGCATAACTAAAACTTGATCACTTTAGAATTAATAAGAGAAAATAATAGAATTAATTCACAAGTGTGAGAAATAGAAAGTCCAGTGACCCATTTTCAGAATATAGTATTAGCCTTAAATGTAAAATTGGGATGTGAGTTCCAATAGTAGCCATTTTAACTATAGTCTTTCCCTTTGCCCTCCAATTTTAAAATTAGTCAGTTGTATACTGAGCTCCTTCTATCAGAGCAAGGGGCATTGCTGAATTAGAGATAAAAATGGACAGACTGCTTGACCAAGTGTGTTTGCTTACCAGACTTTGTTCAGTAGCACACCCTCTGTAGAAGTAAAGTTGCCTTGAGGAGTATCTTTTGAGCATGTGCCTGATTTTTTGCAGCACCTCAATATTTCTAATGCAAGGAATGGAAAGTCATAAACAGTAGACAATAATATTCTGATATATGATCTTTCCATTCGAAATATAAATTAGAGCTTAAAAATTAAATTATTGAAACAGATGTGTCAATGACACAACTCTAGGTTAAATTAATTAAAATTTAACAACCTTTAGCTCCTAAATTATTAAATAGAGTTATAACTGATCACTTGTGAGTGATCTCTACAGTGGGTATTTGGACTTTTAAAAAATTTTTATTAGCTGTAGATGGCCATAACATCTTTATTTATTTTTATGTGGTGCTGAGGATCGAACCCAGTGCTTAACACATGCAAGGCAGGCACTCTACCATTGAACTACAGCCATAGCCCCGGGTATTTGGATTTTTAAAGGATATTTGATGAAAAAAGGAAACAACTACATTGGAGATTCAAATTATTCCTGATGATTTGCATTTTCCTCACTATATAAAGTTTGAGCAGAGAAAATGACCATAAACAGGAAATTAGTTCTTTAGAACTTTGAATATATCAAAGTTCTTTGATTTGAAGAGTACTTATATTATCCAAAAGAAAATCAGGGTTCAGAAACTAACAAAAACTTACGTTTCTATTATTTTTCAATAGGATTTTTTTAAAAAATGGTATTTACTTCTTGACTTCATTTCTACAACAGGTCTGTTTTTTTTCCCACTTTACAAAGAGATGTTTATAAACTGAGTGGTTCAGTGACATGCTTAGAGGTTTTATCAGCTTATACTGGAAGCCAGAAGGAACTCCTGCATTCTAGCCCAGAGTCTATTAATTCATTCTGTCTCAATCAACTGTTCTATGCCCCAGGGAAATAGCAGAAAAGAAAACAAAGTCCCTTCACAAACATGTACAGTGTTTGAAGTACCCGTTAGAGCTAAAGAGAAAAATAAGACAGGACAGAGGCACTGAGTGAGTACCCGTCAAGAACCTGTGTGTGACTTGGGGAAGAGGTAAAAATTATGCCAATCTTATGGGGAAAAAAAAAATCAAAGAAGGCCACATTGATGAAGTAACATCTATGTCATCTTATTCTCTTATCAATTTGTAACAATTGGGCAGGGACATGAAGAAAAAGAAGAACTGGATCATGAAACTATCTCAGGGAAGAGAAGTAAAGGGCAGGGATTGGTGAAAACCAGCCTGCCACCTGTTCTTGTAAATGTTTCCTGGAACACAATCAGGCTCAGTTCACCCACTGCCTGGGGCTGCTTTTGCATCACATTGTCAGTGTTAAGGAGCAGACTGTCAGGATGTGTGTGACCCACAAAACTGAAAACATTTACTATCTGGCCCATTAAACAAAAAAATCTGCTGACCCCTGGTTTATGCAAAGCCATAAGTCACAAGAGTGTTTGAAGTGTTCAAGGAGCAGCTAGAAGGCAAGTGGGGCTGGGTTTGAGTAGATGAGGGAAGAGCAAGGGAGGGAAGACAGACAGGAGGAGTAGGATCCTGTAGGGCTTTATAAACCACTGTGAAGAACTTTGACCTTTACTTAGAGGGAGATAAGAAAGCCCTGGAGAATGTTGACTACAGGAGTGACATAATGTGACTTATATTTTAAATTGGTCCCTCTGTTTATAATAAACTAGAGAGGGTTAGCTTGATATAAACTACAATAGTACAGAAGAAAAGTGATTCTGGTTTGGATTAACCAATGAAAGTGGAAGATGTGAGAATTTGTCAAGTTCTGAATCTATTGTAAAGAAAAATTTGATAGGATTTGCCAGCGGACTTAATAGAAGGGTGTGTGTGTGTGTGCATGAGAGATGTGGGTGGGGGGAACAGGAGCAAGTGGTCAAAGTTCACTGGTGTGAGCCTGAACATCTGGGAGGTTACAATTGCCGTGAACAGATGTAAGAAAGGCCATGAGAGGTATAAGGTATCCTTGGCAGTTGGAAGTGAAGAATTTAAACATGAAATTTTATATGCCATCTGAATATACGAATGGAGATGTTAAAGAGGTTTTAACAATGAGTTGGTCGCTCAGTGGAGAGGTTTGAAAGAGAGAAACAAATGTGTAAGTCATCCATGTTTAGATAATATTTGAGTCATGAGAACAGAATAAAATCACCTAAAGAAAGGCTATAGACATTAAAGAGATTGACCTGAATAGTTATTGCTTAATTTCAATATATATGACAGGTTTTGAGCTATGAACCTTATATTCTAATCTTAAAACACTTAGCGGGTATTTGCATCCCTATTTTTTGGTATTTGGGTGCTTTACCATTGTGCTACATTCCCAAACATATATATTTATTTATTTATATTTTGAGACAGTTCTTACTAGTTTACTGAGGATCTCACTAAGTTGTTAAGGCTGGGCTCAGACTTGCAATCCTTCTGCCTCTGCCTCCTGAGTTGCTGGGATCATAGGCATATACCCCGTGCCCAGCTGTACTCCTATTTTTCACATAAAGAAATGATAACTTAAGGGTTAAGTGACCTGTCTGATTGTACTTTGCTAGGGACAGGAGTCAAGATGCCTGTCTCCTTATCTGAGCCCTCTGTTATTCTATGACATAAGAAATGTAAATTTTAAAAAGTGGATACCAGATGGGCAGATATGAATAAAGAAGGAGTAGAATTACCCAAGTAGGTTGTCCATTGATACTAATATTGTCACCAGGTGGGTAGCTCTCCTCTAAGTTTCAACTTCAGTGGGACATCTTTTTAAGGAAACCACTATATATTAAGCTATGATAATGCTCTCATGAAGCTTCCTTCTCAGTTTCCTGAATTTAACAAACTCTCTTATCATGAATAAGCAGAACATTTCTAGTTTCAGAACAGAATAAGAGGCAGTCACTTCCAAGGACAACATGCATCAATGATATGTACTGTATTTTAAGCAAAGT